GACCGGTCGACCGTTTAAAAGCGCTGAGTGAACTGAACTTCAGCCAGCCATAATGATAATTCGATTTAGCCGACATGATATTGACAAGCAGACGAACAGCAACAGCAACAGCAGCAGAAGCAGAAGCAGAAGCAACCCAAATGACAAGCGCAGGGCAGCAGCAAGTTGAGGTGAAATTGGTCGCAATAAAATTGATCTGAACTGGGCAGTGAGTGAGTGTAGGATATAGGAGTAGTATATAGTAGTTACTCGCAGTTCTACTGGCAAGTAAGTATGTAGTTAGCCAAACTCGCATGGCTGCCACAAGGAAGCCACAGAAAAGAAGTATGGCCTGCCTGGGCAGTTATTTGGTTGGCTTGCTTGTCACTTTGGCTGTGGCGCTCTCCACAATGGCTGTTGTTTACGAGTGGCAACAACTTGCCGCTTCCTCTAATGGCATTGCTGCAACATGGCGATGTGCAAATCAGTTGTTGCCACAAATGTACACTGTGAGAAAAGTTGGCAATCAAATAAATATTTTATTAATACAAAGTTTAAAAATATAAAGTTTTTTTAATTAATAAAAATAAAGTTTTAAAATTGGAACTTACTAACCTTTCCTAACTTAACATCGCTAATCTAACGTAGTCAGCCTAACCTGAATGCATTGCGCGCATATCATTGCGATATGCGAGGAATAAAGCAAGCCCATTGACCTTTTGCAGATTGATCACCAACAAATTTGCCAGTCCGACAGAGTGGTAGGTTTTCCACTTTTCTACGTCTCGACTGAAGGACGCTGGCTTCCAACTTCGTATTGTGGAGATAAAAATCGAAAAGGATTGTGATGATTCAGAATTTACACTTTCTTATACTGGTGGCAACAGCTTCGTGGCAAATACTTGCCACAGAAGGGCCGCGGTTGCCGTTGACTTAAATTCACGAAAACCAAACTGACTCTCCGATAGCCCGTTTGGGGCCTTAAGAAATGTATACAGTCAGTTGAACAGTATTTGTTTGCGAACCTCTCGCAGCGTTTTTTAGTTACTGATCGTCTCTCGCTAAATTCTTCCAATTCAGAAATGCATAAATCTTGCAAATATGGATGACCACCTGCTGTGGCTATTTAAAAAAATATATTCGGTGTTCATCTGGCATATATGCTTTTCACCGTATGCTTTTCGATTCTGAGCTTTTGCAGACATGAAGCTCATCAATATGTCACAAGACAGCTGCAATGGCTTAAATATAACCAGTCCCATGGATCCACTAAAGAAACACCCGCTTGTTAATATTAATACTTTATTCATCTTCTTTTTAGTTGTTTGTGTTGCCGACAGGGTAGGAGTATGATGTATTGTGGAACGATTTTCCGTCATCCCTTGTAAAATTTAGTTTGGAGACAAACCGGTTTAGGCGTTGTGCCGTCTTTAGTGAGAACGAAAACTGACACTGAAGATGGCACAACGCCAAAACCGGTTTGTCTCCACGCTAAATTTGACAAGGGATGACGGAAAATCGTTCCACAATACATCACTTTCTTCATCCTTATAAAAAGAGATCGCACCCTCTAAGCTTTCTTCTAATTTGCTTGTTTGTTGTGTCTTCGCGATTTTCTGATTAAACCAGTATTTTACTGAGGCCTGAAATTTATTCCCAAACTTCTTCGTCCGCTAATCTTCACCATCTCACAGAAGCGACAGAGACTCGTGTCTGAAACATTCAATTTACTGAGGTGATAACGCGCGGAACAACGTCCCGTGAAGTACCCAGTGAGAATCATAATCTTTATCTTAATCTAAATTTTTATCTTAATCTGAATCTTAATCCTTATCTAAATCTTAATGTTAATATTAACGTCAATCTTAATCTTAAACATGATCTTAACCCTAATCTTAACCTTAACCTTTATCTCAATGTTAACCTTAATCCTTACATGAAAATCTTACACCTTAATTTAAATCTTAATATGCATTAATCTTAATCTTATTCTTATTTTTAACTCTTTCTTAACCTTAATTTTAACCTTAACCTTACCCTTAACCTTAACCATAATTTTCACCTTGCTTCCTTTTATTTTTATCTGTATCTCTATTTTTTATTAATCTTTATCTTCATCTTCCTTTCCATCGGCATCTTCCTCCTCGTATTCATCTTCTTCAATTTTCTTCTCTTATCTTCACCTTCATCTCCCACTAACCACTCGTTCGCTATAGACATACATACATATCGCACACGATCTTCAAAAGTGACACAACTCAAAATTTGTAATTTTTGAAACTATGCACTAAAATTGTACACATAGCTTTTATTTACCTTTCAGCAACAGCTGATTTTGAGTTGTGTCTTTTTTGAAGATGGTGTGCGATATGTATATATATATGCACTTACCTCACCGTGGCGTTAAATATTTAACTTAAAAAACTGGAACGTTGTTTGGCATGCAACGTCATCAATAATGATATTCCAGAAAGGTATAAGGGCCCACCGTTTATAACGGTTTTAACTGTATGAGAGTTAAGCTTCCACGAAGAGCTTCCAACTTAACCTTAGCTAACCTAACTAATTTATACTATGGTAGGAAGGAATGAGGAAGTCTAACTTTCTTCCTAAAAAATGTAGGAATTTTTCTCAGTGTATCCCTGTAGGCAGCTACAAATGTACTTATGTATGTACATTAATTCAAATATTAAGCGCTTGCATGCACATTTTAGCATTTGAGCCCTCAGAAACAAAGCGCCTCATAAACAACAAACCAACAACAACAAAAGCGGCAGACGTTGCCAAAGTCAAATGGCGACAACAAATGCAAAATCAACGTCAGCGAAGGAGACCGAAGCCGAAGTCGACGACAACGTCGGTGGCAATTGTTGTCAGTGCTTTTGTTGCTGTTGTTTTTGTTGTTAGTTTATTGTCGCATTTTGTTGTTTTACACATGCATAAACAAGTTTGCATGTTGTCGGCCATTGTTGTAACAACAACAAGAACAAAAAAAACAAAATGAGCAGCATTGTAACACTTGCGAGAGAACACACAAAAACAAGTGCACTTCTTGGCTGTTTAAAGCTTAAAGCGTTTAGTCAAAAAAGCGACGGCAAAAATGCAAAACATTTTTACAAACTCCATTTCCAAAAGTTAAGTTTTTACTTACCAACGGCGAATAGAACGCCGAACTATCCACGCCAATGCTTTGATAAGGATTCTGATCTGTCGAAGGATAAGGCGTGCCATAGACGCCAACACTCGCCGCTGGCAAGCGGGAGTAGCTCGAGAGCGCCAAACGTGCGGAGTCATATTGACACGAACACACTGTCTGTCCGGAGACGGGATCTGTCATAATTGGGCGTCCATTCTCACAGCAAGAACCACCAACACCAGGTCCGCCGACACCCAAGCCCGCCACACCAGCGCCATCGAGCGCACCGCCACCGACAGGATTTTTAATACCGCCACTACCGCCGCCGCCGCCAGTTGTGTTATTGGAGTTTTGCGAGAGCGCATCTGGACTCATTGCGCCGCTGGGCACATCAGCGGAGCCGCCAGCTCCGGTGTTCACACGACACTCGCCGCCCACATTCGAGGGGCTGAGCGCAGGCGCATTCGCACCACCGGAAACTGGCATTGACGAGGGGTTGGGCGTATTTGGTGAGTCGCCAGTTTGGGGCGATTGTGTGAGGTTGGCGGAGATGAGCTGGAAGAGAAAAAGAAAATGTCATTAAATATTTTGATGAGGAGTAAGCGTAACAAATAAATATTTCTGTAGTACAAATTGACAACAATGCGCGCAATTAGTAAGTGGACTTGTTTACAAGAAAGAATGAACAGAGGCTATCTGGTGCTCGAAAGACATGCGTATGCAGGTAAACTATTTTTCTTTTTTTTTAATAAATAAATGAGGGAAATCTTGATAGAAACGGCTTCCTCACCGATAAGCTTCTGAGTTACGATTATCGTTCTTCGTCGTTAATTCCATCGCTAGCACGAACAGCAAATCAAGTGATCGGACATTGGTTGTGTGTGTCCAAGCGTCGCGTTGATCAACACGTTTACATTATAATCGCGTGTTAATTAAAAGCATCATCATAACTCTCATTTCGGACACCTAATCGTACACTAGTGGTGAGGGAAATTACAAATTCAAATTGTTTTTGATTGGAACTATTTTATTGGAATGAGAATTGTTGTCTAATCAAGCAACAAAATGGCTGCGTAAAGGCAGGTGTGTACGAGTATGTATGCCTGTTCAAAATAAAATAAAATACATAGATATCTAAATACATACTGTGTACTATTGAGAGGTCAGCTAAGGTCGAGCACAAAAGACGACTCGGTTCCTATCAAATATGTAAATTATTAGCTGATCACTGCTTGAGAGAGATGTGTCTCATCAAAGTGGTATTTCGCACCTATAACCACTCAGGCACAGCGGCCAACTCGTATTATGAAGAAGATCAAAACTCTTCGAATTATGAGAGTTATCTGAACAAAGACCAAAGAAATCTCTTTGGAAAATTCATTTTTAAAAGCCGCAGATAGATAAATCTAGACCAACATATCCTCTTATTTTGATATTGATGTCAAAACATTCCAATAGGCAAATGGTAAGCGGTGTTTTATGTAGAACATCAAATGACGATCGGGGCTCTTTCCTTAACAGGAAAAATGGTGTGCGCGTTTCCTTATAAGGCCCTTTATAAATTAGGTTCTTTGTCCACCAGGAATATGTGCGGACAAAATATAGCACAATCAAATTCTTAAATTTTTTTGTCCCCGCTTGGAATTTTATTGAAATTGGAATTTTGGGTGGCCGGAAAAGCCAGAAACAATTTTTTCTAAACACTAAGGCATTCTTGCCAGCTTAAGGCCTAGAGACTGGATGTAGAGGATTGGGATATATAGGTGGGGACGGGAATTTTTTGCTGGCGAAGGCCAGACTGCGGCAAAGAAAATTCTGCATAGTGGATCGTCGATGATGCCTATGGTGACCATATGTCGTCCCCATGGATTGTGAACCGTAATCACTCCTATCAGGGCTTGTTTATGAGATCCTTAATGTATAGAAAGTTTTCACCGAGCTTCCCAAGATAGTTTCTGTATTGTTCCCTTGTAGAAAATCCAACGGCGTACTTTCTTCCAAAAGAGACTACAGGTAACAGGTAATTGCTCTGAAAACCTTCTCAACAACTCTCTGTGCCCGGAACTCCGATCGTCCTGCCACAGACTAAAAGAGTGCAGTCGACACATCGGTTGAGACCTTCCATTTTTCTCTTCCACGTAAACAAGACTAGGGTTGTCTTATTGGGATTGACCTGATCACAGTGCCCAAACCATCATCCGCGAAATCAAGCATTCAAAGTCCTTCAAAATACTTGAAGAAAACGGCTATAATAACTTTTTTTCCTTCCTGTAAAATTTTTGAAAAGGGACTTAACAATGTTTGGTACCTACTCCTTTGTACTAGACATGCTAATCACTTCCGTTCGGGACGTTTCTCCTTATCTGTAAGAGTATTGTTTTATGTACTTCTGGGCAGGTAAAACCTACTCATATGGAAATCGAAAAGCAATCTTGAATTCAAAAAAATAATAATTATACCCATTACGTTGCTATTTTCCAAAAGTCTAGCCAGTCTTTCAAGCCGCAAGCTGCCAATTATGCATTTCAGTGGAAGATTCTACAGCAGCTCTGGCCGTCGCACATTTAGCGCGAGTTTGACTTGCGCCGAAAATTTCGAAGGCGTTACGCTGAGCTTTAGGCATAAATTGCTACGCCCCGATGCGCCTTAGTATTTTTAATATTTTTCATTAGCCTCCATATGTATGTACATATGTATGTGGATATGTGTTTGTGCCATATCTAGTGCAGCAAGTCAAATTCGACAGCTTTCGATCAAAAATTTTTTTTGTCGGTTACGCTACAAAAATTTCGGTCGCTCAAAATTTTCGCTTAATTATATGTTTGCGAAATCGAGGCCACAAAATGCAGTCGGCCAAAGCTTGAGCCATAATATGTGTGTGTACGAGTAAGTATTTATGTGAGATTTTTGTATATGAATTTGCGAACGCTTGCTTGCCGGCATTTTAATTTTTGGCATTCAATTTTATTTCATTTTTCATTTTCAGTTAAGTATTTTGCATAATTGCTCCTGCGGCCATTTTTTCGGA